CGTAATTAACTCGTTCATCGTGAACTCTCGATAAGATATCGAAGAAGTTTCAGAACTAGAAAGAAGACTTTATATTGCTTTTAAGTTTGTGAAACTTTTGTATATAAATCATTGTTTGCAATAACTGTTATTGTAAATTATATTGTTGTTTGTATATTAAAATATATTTGTGTTAAAAAGAAAACTATGTGTATCAATCTTATTGGCAAATATCATATATAAGCTGACTGTATATCAGCTTCTACTTAACTGATAAATCCAAAGTACAATTTAACTATTAAAATTAAAGTATCATTCAATTCAATTTCAGGCTATTTGAAATTCTAATACGTTACACGTCACATAAGGGACGCTTAACGTTGTAATTTGTACTGCCGTGACGTCAGTAAAACGTGCGCATGCCATGAATCATGATAAGAATTATGCACTCTGTAGGCTACAATATAGCATGACATATGAACTTCAAAAGCAAGAAATACAAATATTTGTCATTTTTAATATTGGTTATATTTACTCTTGAAACAGTACACTTTCGGGGACCCTGCAGATGTAAATCTTGTTATTTTGTAAGGGTTGATATGCTATTTATGATTGCACATGTTTAAAAAATCTTTGGGATGTATTCAGTAAATAGTTTCGTTGAAAAGTTTAGGTAAGTTAGTTTCGAAGGTTATATCACACAATTTTACACTACAATATTCCTCTGTAACAAGGGGCCAATATCTAGGTATAAGCAGGGGCGAGTTAATCCTGAAGTTTGATAAATTAAACAGAGCCAATCAATAATATAATGTATATAATAAAGGTAAAAGTTGATTTATTATATCGAACATTTATATATAAAAGTGCCACGTCAATATATTGTATTTTGGTTGACTACTTGTAACTTATCCAATTGTAAAGTTATATGTGGTGCCCTTAAAGTTGAAAAAAAATCAATGTACCAAAAATTATTATCTTTTAACGTCGACACTGTAGTTATAGTTACTAGACACCCATTTAAAATATTCTAACAACTTAGTAGAATTAATAAAGTAATGTGAACTATGGGACATTGAAACACTAAATACATTCGCGAGTGCAAATAGTTCTAACGTGAAATAATTGTTTGTTTGTTTGTTTTTGAATTTCGCGCAAAGCTACACGAGGGCTATCTGCGCTAGCCGTCCCTAATTTAGCAGCGTAAGACTAGAGGGAAGGCAGCTAGTCATCACCACCCACCACCAACTCTTGGGATACTCTTTTACCAACGAATAGTGGGATTGACCGGAACATTATAATGTTCCCACGGCTGAAAAGGCG